TTTTTTTTTCTTAGTTTCACGAAGAGAGGTTTTACGTATCTAGTTAACGAAGAAGACCTTGTATAGTGGATTTGTTTTTTTTAATTTGGTAACTTAAATGAAAATGTTTTGAATCATACTTTAGTTTTAGTACATGAGATTTTTCGGTATGCTAATTTTCATAAATATGCATCTATCAGCTTATATTCAACCGATATTTTCCTCACGAAACAAACTGCAATTCGGATATTAATTATTAATCATGTTATTCCTGTTTACAAACTAAACTATTTTAAATATGACGTGACTATGATCATACAGTGTTGTTAGTTATTTTTTAACTGCTTACTTCACGTCTATGTATGTTGATTAGTTTCACAATACATACAGGTTGTTGGCTTCCGAAAAAAACACCTTAAAATGGCTAAAATATCTTTGACTATATTATTATTCTTGGATGTTTATATTCACTAGGATGGACAGTTCACATGCCTTGATTGAGTCAAAAAGATTTAAATTTACTTACTATTAAAAATTCAAGTGTTTTGATAAAAGGAACGACAAATGATATTCTGAATTTGAAATCTACCTCTTGTTTAAGCAGATGGTTGCGCTTCATGGGTCGTGCTAACCTACAATACTCAAATACAGTAAAAAATTGATTTTATGGTGATAGTAGGTTAGTCTACATGTTCGACTAATTCACGCCCTATCACTAGTTCAGGTGCTGATGCAACCCAATCTTGAAGCAACATTTTGCATTACGACAGGGAAAACCACATCCCGAACATGCCTGCATTGTTGCTTAGGGTAGTCAGAAGACTGCATTTTCGGGCAGAGTTTTTGGAGGCTTGTGATTTTACACATTTGAAATTATCAATCAATCATTGTTAGATCCCCATTAGAAACCTGGAAGCACTAAAACACGGCCGTTTCGTCCTGATATCGGACTCATCAGCAGTGCGCATCCACGACTCCTGCACCTCGCACGATTCGAACCCAGGACCTTCGGTATTGTGCGCGAACGCCTAACCGTCGGACCACTGGACCGGCATCCAACGGTGTTAATGTATAACACTGATTGATCTACAGTTTTTACGCGACCTCACCCATTTGTCCTTGTTAGTTACTGCCTACACCCGACAGGTTTGAATTCCATTGGTCACGTCTTCTTAACTAGAACTCTGAGAATTTCCTCACGAACCTAGTCACTGATGAGCACTGTTACGATATTTTTGGGCAGAGTTTTGGAGGTTTGTGTTTTTACACATTTGAAATCATCAATCAATCATCGTCAGCGTCTTCACCAAGTAGATTTATGTCATTGGCATATTCTAAGTCAATAAGCGAGCCTTCTAGTAGAATGTCCCCTCTTGAAAAGTCGGAAGAAGATAATGTTATGTCTAGGAGCATGTCTATGACAAAATTAAACAAAAATGGAGAGAGTGGACATCCCTGACGGACACCAGTTGCAGTAAAAATTTCCAATGACAGTTCGCCATAGTCAGTCAGTTGCAACGTGGAACTTCGTAAGTATGTACATAAGTTCATGTTGCCATACCACATTAGCACAGAGACGCAAATGTCAAATCAAATCCCATAGTGATAAAGATAGTAGAGGTATTAATGGTAATGAAGAAGACTAGGGCTTAAAGATATTATTTAAGAAGTATAATTCAGTGAGATAATGTTAGAAACACAAAGGTAGAGGTGCTGACGAATCCAGAAGATTAGGATTTGAGAGAGCTCAACGAATGGATGCACACGCGCCATTGCAAACGATTCTGAGCCATGTCGTCCAAGGTCTTTAACCATTGGTGACTTTCGTATGGCGGACCCGAACCAGGTAGTCTACATCTACAAACATGACTCAGTCCACTTGTCAATGACTTCATGGATTTCTGCCATGTTTTGGTCTGGCCGCCCCTAACTTTCTTCCAACCTACTCCTACACCACAAAACATAGCTCGTCGAGGCAGTCGGTGGTTAGGCATTCGTAACACATGTTTCAACCACCTTAACTGATGAAGTTTCACTACTTCATCGATTGATCTGCCATCCTTAACTAGTACTCGTTTCCTAACGACAGCATCGCTTACTCGGTTGTCCCACGATTTACGAGCAATGCTTGTCAAATATCTATGATCGAAGAATAGCAACCTACGAACATCTTCTTCTCTTAACGGCCATGTTGCACATCCATATAGGAGAACGGGGAGAACTCCTGCGAAGTACACCCATCCTTTGGTTAGCGAACGGATATCACGCCTACGCCATAAGTGACGCAGGTTGGCAAAAACCAATCGAGCCTTCTGTATCCGAGCTGAGATTTCGTCAGTCACCAGGCCATCAGCACTGATGAGACTCCGCAGATAAGTGAAGTGACCAACACTCTTGACTGCTTCACTCCCTACCACTAGTTCAGGTGACAATGCAACCCAATCTTGAAGCAACATTTTGCATTTCGAGGGGGAGAATCGCATCCCGAACATGCTTGCATTGTTGCTTATGGTAGTCAGAATACTCTGCATTTTGTCAGCGTCTTCACCGAATAGAACTATGTCATCGGCATATTCTAAATCAATAAGCGAGCCACCTGGTAGAAGGTGAACCACAGTTCGTCATAAGCTCTCACTCAACCTGTAGTGTTCGAGTAGAGTGCCTGTATAAGGTTAATGTACTTCTGTGGTAAACCTTTCAATGACAGACACTGCCACAAAATCTCACGACGCACAGACGATAATAGCTGTAAAGGAAGCCATCGCAAAACGATTTAGCAATAAGAAAACTAAGAAAAGTCATAATTTTACAGACATTCCAAAAAGGATCATTTTTGTTACACATCTTATAAAATGAGATCGGAAATCACTGCAACACAATAATATCCACAGTTTACTGTAATCATCTTTATGGGAAATAATAATTAAAAATCACATATAAATAGGATTTATTAACCGCTAAGTATTAAACGAACATCTAATCACCTTAAGATATCATCAAATTTGGAAATTGTTAAAGATTGAAATATATATATGTGAAAGTGTGGTGAAAATAATAACGTATTTATGTTTTGGCAGATCTGTTATAGCAGCGAATAAATTAATGAAATCTTAAGGATCGTCACAATTCAAAAAAACATGTCAGAACATTCATTGAAAGTGAACAAGGAAATAAAAAATATCCGTTCTCATTTGATTGTGCTAATGTTATAATGCTGCTACGTATAGCTATTCAGTCCTAGCGGCGTCCAAATTCAAATATCCCAGTACGACCCAAATACTATTTCAAAATCTCCTATATATCAGAACGCAACACCGTTGGATGGAGTTGTCTATTGGGTTGAGTACAGAAGAGAGGTAGGCGGCAGGAAGAAACGGAATCATGAAGTCTTACAGATAGTGCATATTTATACATTTAGGTCGAGTAGGGAAACAGCATCAAAATCTGTGACATTGACAGTTTAGGACGACGACCAATAGGAAAGAACATTTGAAATGACATTGACCATCCGGATGACCAATATAAGAGACAACATTGAAGTATTTTTACTTTGACAGTTAAAACGATCATAATTTTGACCAATAGGATTATACTTCCAAAAATAGTACTCTTAGGATGATATTTGGTGAATATCCTAACAGATAAGTTTTCTCAACGTTCATTCAAATATGGTAGTTGTTGGATAAAAAGCGGGAGATAAATTCACTTTGTTGTTGTTGTTATTCACAAAACATGATGAAATGTTACGCATCCATTCCATTGAATTCGTGCGCATACTTACTTTTATTCCGAATCAATAATGTTGCTATGATACACTCGATTGTATTCCATACTGATCGCTGTTTCGATTGTTTCAACTTTTGTTCATATATATATATATATATATATATATATATATATATATATATATATATTCACTTTATATTATCGGCTGCCAGTCTTTTGTTTTTTCTTTTTCTTACAAAAAAGAGAAGCCACACCTTCTAATGAATGTCCAATAATGAATAAAAATATTTTTGAACCCTATACCTACACAGTACATACATGATCTGATCGGAAAGTTTTTTTTCTTCATGAATAAGCTTAACAATGATGGGTTATATAAACTACCTATGAGATTAAGAAAAAGTGTACTTGAATTTTTATCGATATATATGTCATATATGACATAGATAGTTTTGATGACGATTATTAAGTGAAGATCTTATATTGAATGTGAACAGGTTGAAAAGCTACAGTGTTTTAGGGAAATTAATTTAAATAACAATCGGAAAAAGTAAATATTTTGAGAAAAATTATTATCAGTGATCAGTATAATTGAGAGTAAATATTATGTACGTATTTTGGGGAAGAGTTTTGGAGGTTTGTGTTTTTACACATTTTTTTGAAATCATCAATCAATCAATCATTGTTAGACCACTATCAGAAACCTTGAAGCACTGGACTATGGCCGTTTCGTCCTGGTATGGGACTCATCAGTGGCAGTGCGCATTCTAATGGTGGTCTAAGAATGATTGATTAATGATTTGAAATGTGTAAAAAAACAAACCTCCAAAACTCTGCCCAAAAATATCGTAACAGTGCTCACTAGTGACTAGGTTCGTGAGGAAATTCTCGAAGTTCTAGTTAAGAAGACGTGACTAATGGAGTTCAACCCTGTCGGGTGTAGGCAGTAACTACCAAAGACAAATGGGTGAGGTCGCGTAAATATCTGTAGATCAATCAGTGTTATACATTAACACCGTTGGATGCCGGTCCAGTGGTCCGACGGTTAGGCGTTCGCGCACAATACCGAAGGTCCTGGGTTCGAATCGTGCGAGGTGCAGGAGTCGTGGATGCGCACTGCTGATGAGTCCGATATCAGGACGAAACGGCCCTGTTTTAGTGCTTTCAGGTTTCTAATGGGGATCTAACAATGATTGATTGATGATTATATAAGTTTATAATGCATGAACACTATCTTCAAGGCCGATCGTTTCTGAAAATACGGATTACTAACTAACTAACTAACATATTATGTTCATTTGAAAATTCAATAATGCCTTAAGCAGGCAGGACTCGAGCGTTTTCAATGTATCTATGAATGATTCGAAAGAGTAATTACATTATCTCTGAGTTGAATTAGGCTGTGATTAACAAAAAATCGAAAGTACATTAAATAGGTACAACTTTATTGATATTAAATGTTTGGTTCTTGCCATTGATGTTTTGGACAGAACTTGATCAACTTGTTTGGCTTACGTACATTCTATAAAATTTGCCTCGGTATTTAATTTAGATCAAAAACATCATTAGTAGAGGATTCCATTGCTAGCCAATATTGACCTTTGCTAAATATGTACTGTAGTGAAGGAGAACACAGGTGAGGGCAAACGAATTTTATTTATCGCAAATTACAGAGTTAATTGGTAAAATAGGAAAACCATATCGTAACTCGTTAATTTGCAAAATATCAGTCCATCATATCGAACTGGACTGTTCCTGTTCCATTGTCTGACATTTCACTTATTCATGCGTTTCATACAAATTCCATTGTGTTCTTCTAACTCTTCCTTTCTTGATCTTCCGCCATCTTCTGCTGTCAGACATTACGTTTTTACTCGCGTCATATACTACTTATAAGTAGCACGCACTACAGTACAACTGCTTGAAGTAAAAAGTCACAAAATCTCAAATACAGATTTTTCAGTCATTATAATTATTATTATTATTATTATGACGAAATAGATCCAAGTTACACATTAAAAGTGATATGTTGATTTTTAATATTAACTACATATTATACAAAATACAAAACAAACTATTTGCATGATTTCTTATGATTATAGTGTAGTTTTCATTCTTACTAGTTGCTATGGTTGAATTACTCAAATGCCAATCAACCTACTAATAACTTTAGTAACAAATACGAAACATATAGTTTATATAACTCTAAAGTCTAGCTATTTTTATTTGCTGTTTTTTTTTTCAAACGAAATTCGATATACATGATAACCAACACAAGTAAAAAATCAAACATTTACCACAGTAGTTTGTAAAATATAGTAAGTATTACGATCATTATTTTCAACGTATAAATTCCTTAGCATAAATATTTGAGATAACCATGACAGACAGATACTTGATAATGTTGAAGTAATATTTTTCGTGTTACTGCAACATTCAATGGAATATAATATGTTATTAAGTTGTTGGATAATGAATGAATCAACAATACACATATAACCATTTTGTTTTGATTTAAATCATATTTTAATCTGTGGAGATGAATAACTTTATTTAAGAAAAAACAAAACAATAAATGAACTACAAAGTTTAAAATGGTTACTCTGTGGTGGCCAATTTCTAGGTGTTCTTAGGCTTCGTAATTAGCTTGTCCAGACAATCGTTACTGAATAGCGTCTGACGGTTTATAAATCAGAAGGCGAATTTGAAGTGTTAAATACGTTTATTTTGGGACACACCACAAATACGGATAGCAGACGAAAAGCAGACCGGACAGGCACACTAGCGAGTGAATGGGCGAATGAGCAAGTGAATTAATAAGATTAGAATGTTCGTATAATATACAAAGGAAAATATCTGAGTCATCGTGATAATTAAGAGATCAATATTAAAGCGAATAGGATGAATAGGCGCGTAGGTGGTAAGCAATGATCAGTTGTACTGTGGTGCTGTGGTGCGAACTACTTATAAGTAGTATATAACGTGAGTGTCAACGTAAAGTCTGGTAGCATAATATGGGGGGAAGATCAAGAAAGGAAGAGTTAGAAAACAATGGAATTTGTATGAAACGCATGGATAGTAACAATTGATTGATGTTTGGCAACAGGAACAGTCCAGTTCCATAGGATGAACTGATCTTTTGCAAATGAACGATTTACGATATGGTTTTCCGATTTTACTGAGTAACTCTGTAATTTTCGATAAACACAATTCGGTTGCCCCACCTGTGTTCTCATTCACTACAGTACAAGCTCATACAAAGCCAATGGTACATATAAGTTATAGTTATACAAATAGCTTGGTTAAATAAGTTAATCGAACGGGCTTAACCAAATTAAATGTAAGCGATTTGGAATATATGTGGAGGCACTCTACAACTCAATGTTGAGCTGATAAATTACAATCGTATAGAAAATCATTCATTTGTTGCAGCATTCAAAAGTTGATATAAAAGACGACCGAAATTAAGACAAAAATTGTCATTTCAAATAGACATTTTAGTAATTAATCACTGGAGAAGTAAAATAAATTGACAACACTATTAATGATGTAAGATTATGGTCAGAGGATGCTTTCAAATATCATGTCTACTTACAAATATAAAACTAAATGTTGTGAAATTTTAGGCTTTCGAATTAAAACAATAAAATTCAAATTAATTTGTTTTTAGGTACAATTGAATAATGTTGGCTTAAAATGAATTACAGGACGTGCGTTTCAGTCCTATTTGGAATTCATCATTTGGATTCAATTACATTATAGGATTTAAGACTGATATGCGATTTGAACCAACTACCTCCTACTGCAAATATCTGTAGGTTGTCCATTTAGCTATTGAGTTCAGATAATCACTGATAATTATGATGAGGTGAATTTTATTTTATTTATATATGATTGATCAATGGCTATCTGAATTCAATAGCTAAGTGGATAGTTTCCTGGTGATTTTTAGCGAGTTTTACCAGGTTTGAAACCTTAATAAGACTTGGGGCGCGTCGAGGATTTGTTTGCTAGCCATCATTCACCTAATCGCGATATGGAAGCTCTTTGTACAAGAAGCATACATATCTAAATCGGCTTATCAATTACAGGCATTAACTTTAATGCAGAGATTCAAAACAACCAATACAAATAAATTAAATCTGTTTTACTTAATTTCATGTCATGTAACATTAAAATGGATGGATACTCTTGGTAATGAATGCTACAACCTGTCATTCCTGATGAGATACAATTCAAGTAGGTACATTAGTATCATTGGAGAAAAATATCAGAAAATTGTAATATTACTCTCTTTAAAAATTATGTATCATTTTTGATTGATGGTTAATTTGGTATGTAATATATATGTTTCTACTTATGTCCAATCCATTTTACAATGTTCATGCAATGTACTGATTTTGAAGATATTTTACCAATTATCCTTATTATTATCATGGTCATCATCAAAAAATATCCCACTTGTTTAAACTGACTGTGTTATATTCTCAAAGCATTCATTTAAGCCAGCCTACTTAACACCATGTGTTACTGACAAATGGTTACATTTGTATCATTACCGATTTTATTCCTGTAAAGTGGAATGTGAAAGTTTTTTTTGTTCACAGATTCATTTTCAAGAGGTTGTTTCTTTTTTTTTTCTCGTTATAAGTAATTCAGTCGTAGAAAATATTTGAAATGAAGATGGTTATATGATTAATTAAGTAAATAGGAATTATTTACTCAATCGCTTGACTGATCCAGTGGTTTGTTGAACACATATTTACAGGTGTAATTCTTTTTTTTCCTGTCATGTATCTGTTATATACTTTGGATAGTATTTGCATGATTACAAACTTTATAGTTTCCTTTTAAAATTAATGTGATAGAGTTTTTAACACTGCAATGAGCATAAAGTTATTCTTTTGAGATTGAGTAACTTAATGCCAACTGCTTCTTTAGAAAAGCAATAAGAAACAGAGTTTATTTAAATAATTCCCCCTTATATAGATAGTATAAAGGAATAATGAAGAATATTTAGTTTGATCTAAAATAAATTTGATCTGGACAATATAATGTGACTTCGGATAGGTTGATTCTATATGAAGACCTACTTGTGTATTTTAGTTGAGTGAAAAGAAATCTAAGATTATTTTGATACTTGGGCGAATGAATTTATTTTTCGGAACGATTCATCAAAGATATGATTGTCGATGATGCAAACTTTCGGCAGAGCTAAAATTTGGCTGATGGAGATGCAATCTAGAGCAGTTTCACATACTCTAGTTCCAAAAACTTTCATGAACATTAAGATTTGTTAATTAAAACCTAGAATAGTTTTTTTATAATGAGTGTTCACATACAATTTACGAAAATCGACTGAACTCTGATTACAAACTCTGAAATTTTTTTTTAGATCGATTCTAGAATCGATTTAAGATATTGAGTACTAAACACCTTTGAAATCCACTTACAAATTCTCTAAAAGGTTATTTATTTAAACACATTTGATATAAATCTGATGACTTTAACAGACTTTAATCATATATATCGTTTTATTGTTGTGTGGCGAAGTATTTTGCTTCATTACAAAGAACTAAAGTGACCACTTGTCTGAACCTGTATGAAACTAACAGAATTTTATACTCAACTCATACTGAACACTTGAATTAACTAACTACTTCAATATATACTGCTAACGACAGAACATTGAACACCAACATTTTGTAATAGCTTCAGAAATTATTTTGGCATTGTTAAATTTTAGAGCTGTTACGTTAATATTGAGTCTTGCTTATGAGATTTTATACTTGCTAAACTCCAGAAGAATTCTTCCAAAATCACGAAATATCATGAAAATATTTTGGCAAAACAATGCTTGCAAAGAATTCGTAAAACAACTTGTTTTGATATTTCCTACTAAATAAAAACGAATCTCACTATAATCCTTATAACATTCGTGTTCTCTGTACTTAGTTCAAAATCCAGAGCATACTACTGTCTCTTTTCCTTAAAGTATGCCTAAATTCGATAGGTTGATAGAATGAAATGTTTCGAATTTAAGGAAAGTGAAAAATCAGTTGAAAGTTATCACTGAATTTGTATTTAGTCTTGAAATAAATATTGACAGAGAATGAATAGTCATAAAATTCGAAATTCGATGTTTTCAGTGGCAGTGCTCATCCACGTCTCCTGCACTTCGCAGGGTTCGAACCCGGGACCTTCGGTATTGTGAGCGAACGCCTAACCATCGGAGTCGTGGATGCGTACTGCCACCAATGAGTACCATACCAGGACGAAACGGCCGTGTTTCAGTGCTTCCAGGTTCCTAATGGTGGTCTAACAATGATTGATCGATGATTTTAAAAAAATGTGTAAAAACACAAACCTCCATAACTCTGCCCGAAAAAATTCCTTTTTCACCATGATCATACTCTGTTACAAACTTTTAATGATAAATAATAAAATCGATATCATTTATGAATCTCTACATCATTGACATTAATTTTTTGAATACAAAACTGTCATTTTGAATGATTCAAATCTTTTAGATAGTTGAGTAATAAAACTTGTGAATTAATTCAACAGCGCAACACTTTTCAATGTTTCCCAAATTATCGAAGCTCTGTGTAAGCAGTCAGTTTCATTTTTTATATCTCTCAGATACTTCATAGTCTGCACATAATTACTGAGTCTCTGGTTTTAATATTTTGAAGTTTTTTTTATAAAAAACAGTACACAGTTCCCTCTTAGCACATCTGTTCGATAGTGATTATACTGCAGATAAATCTAGATCTTCTCTAGTGATCTATTGTATACCTGCACCATTTCACAATGGAGTTCGATCTCGTCTCCTTCATATAACAGAAGCCATAGGGATTTGTGCATTCAACCGCAGCAATTTATGTGTTCAGAAGAATTTCGTGACTTACCGCTTCTGTGGCTGGATATAGCTTAACCAACGTTTTAAAAAATTTTTATATCGTAATTTTGTTATTACTAGCAATATTTTCACACTCTGTATTTGTTGGTAATGCTCTGCCTTTTTCCGCTTATATTCTTCACTATCTAATTATTTATACACTTGTCATTACGTAATGTATTTATTATTTTGTGATGACTATTTTAAGTCTATTTGTTCACGTTTGGTCTACTATCCCCAATGTGGAGCTGTGGTGCTGTGGTGCGAACTACTTATAAGTAGTATATAGCGTGAGTGTCAACGTAAAGTCTGGTAGCATAATATGGGGGGAAGATCAAGAAAGGAAGAGTCAGAAAACAATGGAATTTGTATGAAACGCATGAAGAGTGACAATGGATTGATGTTTGGCAACAGGAACAGTCCAGTTCCATAGGATGAACTGATCTTTTGCAAA